GGTTAAGGCTTGATTTGTTGAACAGTGTCTCTAGCAGGTACATTCTAACACTCATTCCTTAAGTGTACTAGGCTTAAAACTCCTTTGAATGACCTTTAACCAGGCTAGAACTCCTTAGAATGACACTCAGTTAAGTTGACTGACTGATCTTTTAAAGCAAAAATATTTCGGGTTGTCACATATGAGTTGTTGTTTACGAGTCGGTTGTGCATTGATAATACGAAAACGCATCAGTAACTTGATGTTATAAAACATATTGTGTGATTTGATGAGTAAATAGTACAAGCATATGAGTCGAAGTTTATCCGTTCCTTTTACCCTTCATGGCATAAAAGCGATATATGTGGGCCCCTCGATGATTTAGTGATGACATCTAAAGCGCTTGGCCAAGCCTGGACTAAGTTGATGTGTTCAATTGTAGTCTGAGTCAGTCGTCATGAATCGGAAATCGGGAAACAACTCTTGGACAGGGATTGATTAGAATTCATGTTTCATGTCCATACGATATCTTGTAGAACGGTGGGATATTTGATCACTTATCTAAGGACAAGTCACTGACTAGGTCAGAGTTCGACAGCGGCTTTTGGTAGCTAAAATTTGCTAGTCAATTTTTGAAGTTATACTTGCAACTATAGTTATTAGAATTATCAAAGTGAGAGACTGTTGGATTAGGTGTCTAAGCCCGTAACTATAATTGGTATGTACTTGAATTGATAGTAGCAATGTCCTTTTGGGTTGCCTTCAAACCTAACAATTGAATAGGATAACCGTTAGAGAGAGAAGAATGATTTATTAATTTATTACTTGGTTAATAAATTAATTTGAAATCAAGATGAATGATTTATTAATGTATTATGGACGTAATATATTAATTAGAAATCATATTGTTTAATTAACATTTAATTAGAAATTAATTTGGAATTAATTTTCGGATTAAAGAAATTAATTGAAACTGCAGGGACTAAAGGTGACAATGTTTAATAGTTGAGCATTGAGCATTCTAGAACCTCCCTAAAGGGGGGAGGGGGAACAAATTCTAGGGTGTTCCTAGGGTTTCCTTGGGCTCTAAGGGTGCTTTGAATGCCTTAGGGAGAAAGTTAAGGGATTAGGGTTATCTTGGATACACGTGCCTAATCCAATACCGTCTTAGCACCTATATAAACCTTCTTAGGGTTAAATTTCGGCCAATGCACTCCAAAAAGAACCTAATGGCCAAAATTCTACTCTACTTCTCTCTCTCTCTCTATAAAGTATTCATTGGTTTCTAGGTTTGTCTGTGAGCCAGTAGAGGCGCGACACTTGTGGCACTTGCTACCAAAGTTCAAGATCTTCAAGGATTTGATTGTTATTACAATATAACAATCAAGGTATGTATCCTAACCCTAATTATATTTTAATTTCGAAATTACATGCGCCTCCTAGGGTTTCTAGTTTTTGTGTTCAATGCTCGTATGTCTAATAGTGAAAACATAGATCCTAAAATTAGGGTTGTATGCACACATAGAACTGTTTGCTATATATAAAACCCATCAGTTTTTCATAGGGTGTGAGTAGAGCCGGTTGCAGGAGCAGAGACGTTCATCTTCTTCACCCGACATTTGAGGTGAGTTTTCCTCCTGTAGGAACGAGTCGAAGGCATCAATGCCAGCCTGTTTATGTATGTTAGTATATGTCGGACTATGGTCCGATGCCAGGATGTGCCCGATGTAGGTTTATGTATTTCCGGACTTCGATCTGATGTCGGGGCAAGCCCGAGGAATGTGTGTATGCTTGATGTCTTCGTGATTCTTGCATGAGTCGGTTAGAATGTTCTTGGACTTCGGTCCGATTCCGGGGGCAAGCCCGAGGAATGTTTATATGTATGCTAGATGTTTATGTTTATATGTATTTGTTGATATGCTTATGTATACCGAGCTTTGGTCAATGCCGGGCGGGGCCCAATGCTGTATTATGGTCCAATGTCGGGCGGGGCCCGAAGTAGTGGGCTAGGCCCAAGATATGTTGTTATGTGATTATGTGATATGTGTATGGTATGTGGTAGTTTGGGGAGACTCACTAAGCTTCGTGCTTACAGTTTTCAGTTTTGGTTTCAGGTACTTCCGCTAGTAAAGGGAAGAGCTCGGGATGACTGCATCACACACACCACAGCGTTTAACCTGGGATGATTTACTCTGATATTTGGACATGTGATTTTGATACAGTGTTTTGATATGATGTTTTGAGATATTATCACTTATTTTTTCTGAGATGATTTGAGTTACTATGATTTTATATACAAATTAAAAATGAATTTTTTGGACTGTATTTTTGGGATGTTTCACATAAGCAATTAATATGTGCCCATAAAATATTAATAGTCATACATATTTTGTTTTAGCATGACCATTGTTTACTATTAGACACACATAATAGCTTAAACTATCAACATATATTACTTATAGTCATACCTTTTTTATTATTATTAAACAATGACCATAACTTACTTATTGTCACATGTTGTTTCCTTTAGAATTAGTATGGTTATTTGTCGACACACATAAGCATTTAAAGTGTGACCATAAACTAGTTACATTCATATGTTTTTTTTGTTTTACCATGACCATTAAATTTTTAGACACACATAAAAACATAAGTTGGCACCATACATTACTTATAGTCACTACTTTACTTTCTTTTACTAAGTGGATAATACACACCATCCATTCGTCACACAAATATGTTTTGTGGCCATATGTATAAACTTTTAGCCACATCATGTTCATGTGGGAAACTCAATTCTTTGATTTAGGCACACAAACAATTGTTTTATGTGACGATATACTTACCTATCACCACATATAAAAACAATCACAAACAGATTCCAAAAATCAAAACTACCATGGCAAATGGCCACATTTGGTCACATGCATTTAGTGTGGCTGGTAATTGTCACGTTTTTAATCTAAAAAAGTGGCTACTATTTTAAAAAAATTTACAATCGTCACACGTATCGCAAATAAAGTGTGGCTAACACTAGGTGTGATTTTAAATTTTGAGCTATAGCCTCATGAAAATCGAAAGTGTGGCTCGACGATGTGTGGCTGTATGTTGTTAAAATTGTTATATGGGCTCAAACAGGCCCCTCGGAAGTGGAAAGAGAAGCTTTGTTCTTATTTATTTTGTTTTGGTTTATGACAAAGTATAATTAGTTTTTGTGAGGAACCAACATGATTCTATTGTTATCTTACTTATATATCTTGATGATATAACACTTACCGATAATAATAAAGATGAAATTGATAAAGTCAAAGTTTTTTTAAAATCTTAGTTTTTTCTTATGGATTTAGGAAAATTAAAATATTTTCTTGGAATTGAAGTCATTGATATTAATAGTGTTTTTCTAAATCGAAGAAAGTACTACTTATAGTTGTTACTTAAGTTTGGTATGCTTGCATGTGAACCTGTCAAAACTCCACTAGAAGCTAATTTTGTTGTTAGCCGTGATGAAACTGATAAAAACGATAGTTATGTGGTTAACGTAACTAAGTTTCAGAAGTTAATTGGAAAGCTTATTCATCAGACTGTTACTAGACCAAATATTTCTTATGCTGTTCAAATTCTTAGTCAATATATGCATAAACCCAGGAAATCACATTTGGATAGTGCTTTTAGATTATTTTATTTTTTAAAAGGTAGTCCAGGAAAAGGTGTTTTTATTACTAAAAATTATAGTTTAAGTTTGGTTGGTTTTTTGGATGATGACTGGGCTAAATGTTTGTCAACTCGCAGATATGTTACCAGTTAATTGGCGTAATTTGGAAATTTTCTTATTTCCTGGAAGAGTAAAAAGCAAATCCTTGTATCCAAATCATAAATTGAATTTGAATACAGAGCTTTGAGTAATATAACGTGAAATAATTTGTATATTAAAATTTTTGAAAGATGTTCAGGTTGATAAATTGACTCCGATAAGTGTATGTTGTGATAATGACTATGCAATAAAATTGGTTTTAAACCCTGTATTTCATGAAAAAAACAAAACACTTTGAGGTGGATTTACACTTTGTTAGAGAAAAAATTTTAAATGGTGTTTTAGAAATTTTGAAAATTGATTCAGCTTTCCAGAATGCAAATATTTTAACAAAGTCTTTGATTAGTTCTCAACATAATTTCTTAATTCATCGACTTGGTTTATTAGATCCTTTTTTCAAAAAACTGGAGATAATATGTTAAGTTTGAGAGGGGTGTTGGAAAATGAGAACTAATGATATTCAAACTTAACATTTATCTTGTAATATTTGGATTCAAGTGTAAACTCAGATACTGTGTGATAAAAGAGGCGTATACACGGAGAAGCAGATCATATACAACGTTCATTCTCTAAGTCCTTAATACCTCTTTTAGGCTATTTATTAGGGTTTCATTGTTCTTGTACAAAGGTTCAAATTATGAGAGTGTTGTTGAGAGATTTCTGTATATTTTCCTTATAGTGAGGTTATATATTGTTGTTTGATGAATCAAACTGGTTCTTAATAAAAGATAATTTGAAATCTCTTTGTTTTGGTATTCATATTCTTTAGAGAATGCTTGGATGCAAACCTGTTAAAACTCCTTAGATCGTAATGTTGTAATTAGTGGCGATGAAGTTGATAAAAATGATATTTTTTTAAAAGAAAAGTTTTTTTAAAAAACTGACCGGTCAACTTATTTATTTGACTATCACAATTAATATTCCGTATGAGAAATCAAATATTCTCATACATTTTGTTCTACTCATCTTTCTACCCACTAAATCAATGCATGTGTCCAAATCAAAAGAATGGATTAAGAGAGAGAATTAATTGATTCCTAGTATCATTATTTTATAGAGTAGAAAGATAAGTAGTAACAAAAGCTAGGAAGATATATAATTTTTCATTTTGTATAGAGTACAAACATTGAGTCAGTTTATGAACATTCCACGAAAATCACCTCTAAATGTTGCATTTCGTGTGTTAAGGCATTTAAAACAAATTCCAGATATGGGTGTCACTATTTCTAAAATTGAAGGATTATATCTTAGTGCTTATTTTGATGCAGATTGCACTAAATGTTTAACCATAGAGGTCAATAGAGGTTAATAACCGGGTATTGTATTTTTTTGTTTGGTAATTCAATGGTTTCATGGAAAAGCAAAAAAAAAAGCAAGACACCAACATAATCTGAGTATATTGCACTAGCCTCAGTGACTTGTGAGATCATGTGGGTATTAAAATTGTATTTTAATCTTGGTATTATAAATCAATTCATGATAAGGTTCAATACATATCGATTGAAGGCAAACAGGCAACAAGCTGCGCCGCTAGCCCTTTTTGGATGGCAAAACCAATTCTTTTGAAAACTACATTTGTGGATCTAGGAGATATGATATTAGAATGCATGACCCGTTTGACCCTATTGAGGAGCTCCAGTTTTCCATGAGAAAATGGCACATTTTGAAGTGGGTGGACACTTTGTTCGTGACAGTATCTAAAGGTGTTTTCAAAGTTGTTAATATTTTTTTGAAAAACAGATAGCTATATTTTTACATAATATTTAACTTCAAGTCAACATTGCTTCTTAACCTCTGAAATGGTACTTGTAGATCAGGTTAAAAAGTAAAGTGGTTACCAATGTTTATCTATAAGGGGGTTGTAAAATATAAACAATTATCATAAGATTAACACTGAATAGTTAATAATGTGGTAACTTGGACTGTTTTAGTGAAGGTTTCTCTTTTGAGGGACCTGCTGGTAAACTTTGATGACTTGAAGGACTATGATGTAAACGATGCTGATGACTAACTCGTTGACCGGAAGAGATGCAGAGATTGAAGTTGTACAAAACTGATTTCTAGTGGACTGAAGAAAGCGCGGTTCTAAAGGACCCGGGTTCGACCCGGTCTCACAGTTAACTTATATAACTTTTAATTTTTAGTTCATTTGTAAATTTGTATATAACTAGTATCTAAGTTTCTCTGTAATTTCTCTGTAAATTCTCTCTAACATTGCTCATCTTCTCTACTAGATACTCGCCTTACAAGAGAAACCCAATACCTCCAAGCAGGCTTCGGCAAAACAATATTTGGAAGAGTGGTTGAAATGTCCACGTCCGACTCCAACGAAGAAAACTCTGGTATTTCAAGATCCTGTTGACTTTAGTTTATAGATTCATAAAATTTGTGTATATTAGCAGAATATCACTGAAAATATAGATTAAATGGCTCATCGGGTCAGATTGTGATCTATCAGCTAATGGATGATCCATTTCATTTCTCATTACAATGCTTCTCTACTTTCGTTTGGTTATTTATTACGAGATGCTTGAGAAAAAAATTTGGTGGTTAAGAACTCAATATAATAATTATAATCTGGTTTTGATAACTAATTTCAGCAAATGATGATTCAAAGTCATCAAGTAATGGCAAAGGCAACGTTACTGGAAACATAAATCAAAGGATTCTATTTGGTGGGGAAGGTTCCGAAAGGGCATTTTTGGGTCAGGTCGATGACAACACTCCCATCCCTTCAGTCCCTGGTGATGGAACTGTTGTTTCTGTTCAGAAGCACAGAGAAGAAATCTTGAAAGAGCCTGCTGAATGGCTGGTAAGCATCGAAAAGTATACATGAATTATATTAATAAACAAAGACAAAATTTAAAATTTCATGGGAAAACTTTTGACTCTAACTTAGTGTAGTAATAATGTCAAAAATCATTACTAACATCACCAAATGGATTGGGATCGATGCTTGCATATGGTACAATAATGGACCATAACTGTAACTTGGTATTCATGTCATTTTTACAATATTTCAACAATTGTCTTAAAGAATTAAGAAAAGAAAGAAACGATGCCTATCACAAAGGGTTGGTGAACTTTTAAATTTCTGCTTTGGCATTATTTGCTCTTAATCATTTTCTAGATAAATAATTTTATTCATAAAATTGATATCCTTAATTGTAAATTGCCATGTGGCAAGATAATAATATATTAAAAAAAACCCAACTAAGGGTGGGTAGAACACCGAAGTCGGTGGGTTTTGAAGGAATTTTATTACTTTTTATATATTATATATTATTTTGCCCCAACCGACTAAAGAAATGGTTGGAGATATTGGCAAATGGCAATAGTCTAATATACGGTAGGTAATGACTTTAAGGTCACAAGAGAGAGCCATACATGTATATAAAATATAGAAGCTAATCAGAAATACATTTTTAATGACCAGAAGTCTTCAAGCATGAGATCTAAAGAACTAAACTTTTTCACCGAATATGGTGAAGTGAGTAGGTACAAGGTAAAGGAAATTATTGGTGAAGGAAACTCTAGTATTGTCTGCTCTGCATATGACACTCATACCGGGGAGATTGTAGCAATAAAAAAAATAAATAATATATTCGAAAATGTATCTGTTGCTATCAGTGTCACTCGTGAGATTAAGCTACTTAGGCGCCTTTATCATCCGGACATTGTCAAAATTAAAAACATATTGTTGCCTCCATCCAGAAAAGAATTTAATGATATATACGTGGTGTTTGAGCGTATGGATTGTGACCTACACCAAATCATTAAAGCAAACGACGACTTAACACCAGAACATTATCAGGTCTTTCTTTATCAAATTTTTCGAGGGCTGAAATATATACACACAGGTACGTATACAGTGTTATCATGCCTTGTTATAATTATGTGTATATATTCTGATTGTGCAATACTTTCTCTAATTTGCAGCAAATGTGTTTCACAGAGATCTAAGACCCAAAAATATTTTAGCCACTTCTGACTGCAAACTCAAGATCTGCGACTTTGGTATTTCAAGGGTTGCATTCAGTGATCAACCTACTGGGAAATTCTGGACTGTATGTCCCTAAGTCACTCATTGTAGTAATCTAGTTTTTCATGAAGTTATTATACGATTGAACTAATTTGGTCAACTGGTTGCATTTGATGTGTTCACAGGATTACATTGCAGCAAGATGGTATAGGGCTCCTGAACTGTGTGGATCTTTTTTTAGTAAGGTGAATACAGATAGTCCGATACCACTAAAGTTAAATGCTTTAAATTCAATGCCAATATAATCGATCTCTAAACATATGATCTTTCAATGATAATAAGGGTTTATAATTTACTATACTAAATAGCTTTTTCTATGCAGTACACACCAGCAATAGATATATGGAGTGTTGGTTGCATGTTTGCAGAAATTTTAACAGGGAAGCCTCTTTTCCCTGGGAAAAATGTTGTGCATCAGTTGGATTTAATGACTGATCTTCTAGGAACACCATCACCTGAAACTATCTCCACGGTTGGTTTACATCACAATTAATGATTATGAAAACTTTCATATTACTTTTCTTATTCTTGCATATGACATGTGATATGACACATGCAGATAAGAAATGAGAAGGCGAGGAAATACTTAAACAGCATGAGGAAGAAAACTCCTTTTCCTCTCGTTGAAAAGTTCCCGAATACAGACCCCCTCGCTCTTCGTTTGTTACAAAGATTGATTGCATTTGATCCAAGGGATAGACCTACTGCTGAGGAGGTAATGTCTTATTTATCTATTAATTCAAAATTTCCTGCTATGAAAGATCTCACTTATTAAGAAAAACATGTTTTGTGCCTTGTTTTAGGCTCTTTCGGATCCATATTTTAAGAATTTGGCTGACGTTGAAAGGGAGCCTTCTGCTCAGCCCATTACAAAGTTGGAATTTGAGTTTGAAACAAGAGAAAATACGAAAGAAGAGTTACGTGAAGTGATCTATAGGGAGATTCTGGAATACCATCCAGTAGGATTCCATCTCACTATTAAATCATAAGAATTAGCAATGCATTAGCTTAATCTTTTGATGTTTGGCAATACTGATTTTTGGCTAAGGCATGCACCACATCTGTGACAAGAAGCTTCTCCACTACATGACACCAACGGCCAGGTGAGCTCTGATGAAGCTGTTTTTAGATTCTAGACTTGAACATGTTCTTGTATTTTGTATCTTTTGTTTGTTAAATAAACTCTGCTGTCAAGAATCACATGTGATGTTCTTATCTGTTTAATGTCAGTGTACGTATTATTCCATAACGAAGGTAACACTCTAGTAGACGCTACACCATTTCATCTAGCCTATAAATTGGTAGCTCAAGATCAGTTTGTAGGTAATCTTTTGGATTTTCACATTGTAATCACTCTAGAAACATCCAGTTAGTGAAATAATCAAGTCCAGTTGTTCTTCGTGTGATTTACTCCTTTATACATTTTGTTTTGTGAATGATATATTGGGTTTTATCAAGTGGTATTAGAGCTAAATTTGACCGATATGATTTTTTATTTTTCTAGATCCTATCAAAAGTAAGCTAGACATGGTAGCTAGTTAGATATTCTATGTGACTGTTAAGTTAGTTATTAATGCTGGTTAGCAACAATTATGTTATAACCGTTGGAAGGAACAAATATACAACGGTTGATCTCGTGGTGTATATAAGGATGGTAGGAGTAGAATCCTCTCAACCCATTCAATCCACTGTCACATCATTCTATCATCTTTTCCACCCCATAACACATGGAAATACCATCTTTTCGAACCCACTTGCCACATCATTATTTTTAATTTAATTAAATTAAAAAATACAAAATTAAATAAAACATAATATTTTTTAAAACACTAGTACAAACAGAAAAAAGAAGAAGTGATAATTAGAAAAAAAAACATAATATGAAAAGACAACATTAAAAAAAATCACAATTAAAATTAACTAGTGATCCAGAAATGGAATGTAGGCATGCTCGATAAAATCACAAAGATCGGATCAAAGTTGGTGGTGAGTTTCTGAATTTCGCAATTCGTGTAGTGCTTCTTGATCCACGACTCCGACATTTGGGGGGATTGGGTTGATGAACAGGTGATATCACAACATCGTCATCTTACAGTATCATATTGTGTAGTATAATCCAAATGCACATAACATTTCTTGTTCTATTCTCCAAAATAGAATGTGCCGACAATTTTAATATGTCCCAATGTGCTTTAAGGACCCAAAAAGTGCGTTCTACGTCCTTTCTTACCTATTCTCGTGCAGTCTTGAACCATATCTTTTTGATGGTTATTGGATGTGGATATTACTTCATAAATACAGCCCATGGTAGATATATTCCATCCGCAAGATAGTATCCATGCTTGTATTATTCTTCATTCACATAAAAGAACACTCGAGTGTTGTTCCATGATACGTCTCATCAAATAGTGTTGATGTGTAGAGGATGTTTGGTTCATTGTTCGAACTTGCTACACCATAATATGCATGCCAAAACCATAAATCTTGTTAGGCCACTACTTCCGGTATCATCATACTCATGACCACTCCTCATGTATTAGCCTCTCAATTCATTTAGGCAATTACTCATGTTCCAATGTGTGCAGTTGTAACGCCTGTGTTTCCAAGATAGACATTAATGATAATGTAATAGTCTAGGTCAACCTTTGTAACTCATTTTGAAGAAATAAAGAGGAATTATGTGAATTATGTGTTTTATGTTTAATTATTAGCATTTAATTAATTAAGAATAAAAATAAGCGTCCAAAATAAATATTAGATAAAGCTGATATCTATTAAGAAAGTTGTAGTGGTCGTGACAATGATTAAAGAATACCGAAATCCGAGTTATAACGAAGAAGTTATGACCTGTCGAAGTTCCGCGACAAAATCGGCACGGCGCCGAATGACGTAAAAAGTGAGTTTTTGATAAACTACTTTTTAGCCTTGGTGATCTAAATGAAAGTCGTAGTGTTCGTTAAACAGAGAGTATGCATAAAAAGAACACCCAAATCCGACTTCGTATGAGGAAGTTATGATTTTTCTAAGTTTCAGCTTAGTAGTACACATCTAAAAACTCGAATTTTAGATCGAGTAATTTTTAGCCGACACAACCTAAACGAGAATCGAAGGTCTCGTCAATAGTAGTACAACGGTAAAAAGACAGACGAAAACGGACGTCGGATTAAGAAGTTATGAATTTTTAACGGATTTACCTGTCCCGGTCTGTTAAAAATAATAATATAAAAATTAAATTTAAAATTAGCCGACGGAGTCTAAACGAAAGTTGTAGAGCATAATTTTACCTACGCGTCCATATAAAGAACGTCAAAAACGGAGCCCGTATGTGAAAGTTATGGATTTTAGAAGTTCGGACACAAAAATCGAGAAAAAATTGCTAAAACCGAGGAATTTCGCATGGCTGGTGTTCGGCCACGTCACCTCGCCCGCGAAGCGCCCCGTGTCCGCCTGCTGATTCAACTGAAACCGAGGTCCAATTGATTTCCGACGCGTGTCGCAGCTGTGGCGGTTCCGAACCGAGCCACGTAGCGCGTCCGAGCCTCTGACGCGTGCCCCGTTCCCTTCCCATGCGAGGCGCCAGCTGCCCCCTCCCCTTCGGATTCCGAGCCTTCTCACCCTATATAAGGGAGGTGCGAGACCTCCCGTGTATATTTTAGAAAATTGCCCTTTTTCACCCTAAATTCAATATTTCTTTCATTTCAACTTCCCCTAAAGCCCCGGTATCATACCAAACACCCAAAACACGTTCCAAAGTGCCTGAAGACCCGGAAAAATTTATCTTTTCAGTTTTGAAGACCAACCCTTGCAGAGCCCGGTTTCTCATTAAAACTCTCGGTTTTATCAGAAACGATTGTTTTAGGAAACGAAGTGTTGCCCGATTATCGTTAAATCATGTGAGTGTGTAGTCACTTTCATCTTACACATAGATATGAAGTATTTTCTATAAAATACGTGGTATGTGTAATTATATTAGTTGTTTATTTGAGATGACTGTTGAATAGATGTTTTATACAAGTTTTAAACTGTATATGCATTTTTATCTACAAATATGTTGGGTAACACATGGGTAGAAGAAATAGTCGATGTGTGTTAAAATGATGAGAGGCCTCGATGTTGTTGTTATAGTCATCTAGCAGAATATGGATGATGACCACGGACCTTTCTAGACAATCCAGTGGAACACTAGCAGGTTCGCAACTTGTAGGTGTTGGTGAACTATATGTTCATTGGTGTATTCCATCCCCATCATGGTTGCCTTTAGGACATGTATGGCTGAGGAGTCCGCTTAGCAGTAGTGTCCATCTCGATGATAATCCTTAGGCTAGGTCCCTTGTGTTAGGTGTTTAGGGACGTAAAGTGAGGATAACGGGAATGGGTAATCAGGGTTATTGTTGGTTGATGAATTTAATAAATTTATTATTATTGTTGGTTGAAAACCCTATATTCTCACCAGGCACCCAAGCCTGACCTACTCAGCTTTTTATATTACAGGTAGTGGACCCCGAGCATAGTCGGATGATGATAAGAGATTTTTGGATTATAGGCCTGTAGTTGTAAATAACTGTTGTAAGGCTTATTATGTATCGTTTATGCTTTTGATCTGTATCGGAACATGACATCCCGGGGTTTTGATATAAAATGAAAATACATATATCTTTAAGAAATGTTTTGATAAATTTTTATCATGTTTTGTTTTGGGAACAAATTCCGCAACATCTTTTAAAAAGATTACTCTGATTTTATTTTAAAAGCATAAATTAAATCGGTCTTTTCTGGCCGAGAAATTAGGGGATGTCACAGTTGGTATCAGAGTATTAGTTTAAGCGAACTAGGAATTTGTAGGATTTCTAGACTTAAACTTAGAATGCTAAGTGATGAGTGTCTACCATATTTTAGACACGAGCACTAGTATATTTTAGGAAAGATGCCTAAAATGTTTTTATGTGCTAAATGCTATATGTTTGCCATATATGCCATTATTTGTTCGGATCTAGGGTCTGTTGCCGACCGGATCTGGAAACCTTATGTGTGTAGGATTCTAAGCGTACAATTACGATATTAGAACTAACATGTAAATGTTTCGGAGTGATAAGGGGAATTTAAATATCTATCGTGAATAAAGACCTAAATTCGCCTTATTTGGCATATAGATGAAAATGGCAAGAACTCGAAGTGGAGCTGGAAATGAAAATAGAAACCAGCAACCTCAACCCCAAGTGGTGGAACAGGTGCCTATAGCAGGAGCTGCACCAGAACCCATCACCATGGCCGGAGTACGAGCCATGATTCAGGAAATGATGGCTGATCAAAGGGAGGAAATGAGACAATTATTGTTGAACAACAGGAGTGAACCCTCAATTCCTGTTGAACAACCTGAATTAAATGACGATCAATCTGAAGAAGGAAACAACGGTAGATCTGTTGGTCAAACTGAACCGCTTGTGGTTGGGAGAAATAACCACGAGGATAGAGTGGAGAGAAATGGATGCAAGTATAAAGAATTTATGACTTGCAAGCCATCAACTTTCACTGGAAAAGAAGATCCCGTCGGAGTGTTGGACTGATCTCGGAAATGGAATTGGCTTTCATGACATGTGGTTGCCAAGGCAAGTTACAAACCACATTTGCAGTGCGTCAGTTCAGAGGTAGCGTTGTTCGTTGGTGGAACACTCTGGGGAAAACCCTAAGCCCTAATGAGCCACTGCAACTGACTTAGGCAGAGTTATTGGTGCAATTCAAGCGCAAGTACTGCTCGGCCCAAAATGTGCTTGAGCTAGAAAACCAATTTCTGACGTTGAAAAAGGGAAGTATGACCGTTGACGAATACACAAATAACTTCACAAACAAAATGGAGTTTGCTTTGCGTATTGTCCCAGATGAGCTGACGAAAATTGACAGGTACGCAAAGGGACTTCCATGGGAGTATGCGGTGCCAGTGCGTCAGGAACTTACTTTGGAGGCAGCTATCTGGGCTGCCAAGTCTGTTGAAGATATGATTAAGGGGAGAGCCGCCAGCAAGGTTGAAGTTGGCGAAAAGAGAAAGTTTGAAGGAACTTCAAGTTCCAATAAAAAGAACAAATTCTCGAAGACTGGTTCGAGCAAATTCGGAGGAGGAGCCGAAGCCAAGTGGTGTGACAAGTGTAAGAAGAAATATGCTGGGAAATGTAGCGATGAAGTCACTTGTTACAAATGTGGAAAGCCTGAGCATTATGCCAATGAATGCACCTTCAATAAGAAAGTTTGTTATGGGTGCAATGAAGAGGGACACATTTTGAAGGATTGCCCGAAGAAGAAGGATGCAGCAAAGCCCAATCTTCCACCAAAGCCGAAGGCGAGAGCCTTTCAGATGACACTTGAAGCTGCGCAAGAAGAAGCCGATGTCACTTCAGGT